TTTAATTTTTTTTCTGGTCTGTGATTCTTTTGACAAATAAATTTAATCATCAAGTCTTCTGTAGAAATCTGGGAGAGTCTGTGGGCTCTGTTTTCCTGAAATAGGGAATAGCACTAAACTGTCTAAACTCCAGGGACAAGGGACATTTGGGCATGTTCAGCAACTTTTTGCAATTTTGGTAACCACAGGAGTAGCACACTTTTGTGCGCAGCCAGGTGTTCCCAGGTGCATTGTAGAGGAGAGGCAGAATACATGGTTAGCCATATTCATATATAGCCATAGACTGAGGTTTAGTTTATTTTATTTGAAACAGTTAATGTTATGCTTAACCTACTGTATGTCATACAACACCATGACCTTGAAACTGAAACAGTTAAATGTAATTTAGCCATCATTCATTTGATTCTTTACACCTGTACTATCCGTACAGTAAGAGATCTTATGCGAAAAAACATCTGTTGAAGAGCTGGATTTAAGGCCCATTTTAAACCCAATTTTATAAATATTGGGTATTTTAAACATGACATTACTCATCCAAAGTTGTTTAGATTTTTTTTTTTTAATTTTTTTATATCCAGCTTTACAAACAGCACAGATTCCCCTCCTTCACCAAACAGGCTGTTTCAGGGATTAAAATAAAAGTGATATTATTCATAAGCCCCTATTCTGATTGGCTGGAGGTATTGACTCATCTCAACCCCCAGCCAATCATAATAGGAAGTAATGAATAATGCAATTACTCCTAGGATTGCATTTTACCTTGCATAATGTTTAAAACTAGAACCAGGACAGAATATAGAAATACAGTATGAAGAAAAAAAGAGTCTGATCCTGAATGGGAGTCTGCTGTTGCAGACTGGTAGGAATGTTTAAGTTTCCTAACAAAGTAGTCATTTTGTCAAATGTAGCTGGCTTAGCTTTAGCACAGCTATTTTCATTAAGAAATCTATGCTCCTAGCGTACTGTTGTGCAGCGGGGTGGGCTTATCTGATTTCACACCCAGTGAAAGTGACATCACAACAGACTCAGTTTCAACACATGCTCTCCAGGCAGTAGTCAAAATTATAAATAGCTTAAAAGTGCTGTAGATAAATATTTTAGCAATTTGACAGCAAAGGAGAACCTCCATCATCACACCACCTCTTAAAAGAGACCACTTGTTGCCCTCCTATCCAAACTCAGTGGCCAGTCAAATTAGAATCACTAAATGTTTTGTAACAGATGTTATTGGATTCATGGTTGATTCTTAGGCCGAAAGGCTCATCTGGAAATGTTGAATTCACCAGAAAACCATTTCAACCCCACTAAAATAACAAGCTAACCAACCTCTCCACATACAGTAAGCTTATTTGCTCACTAATAAAAAAACCCCAATCAAACAAACAAAAAAGACACATAGGCTCAACTCTTTGTGTTCACAATGCAAATATATATATATATATAACTATAGAACATTGTTCAGTTTGTGTACTTGTGAACTTGTCAGAGAACCAGGAAATACAGGGTCAAGATGCATGACAAACTGCTATAAAATTTAAGAGCTTTACTGTTAGGGATTAAAAGAGGCAGAGCCGATCTGTGGGCTGACAGTGGTTTAGATGATGACCATGAGGAGGAGCCTCTGCAGACCCAATGGACTGAGTGAGTCCTCTTTTGTCCTAGGAGGCAGATGACTGGTTGATTATATACACTGTATACTCGCATTGATGGACTGTGATAACTTGGCAGGTGAATGGAGGAGACTTTGGGAATAGAAAACAATAGTGGAGTGAGTAAGTATTAGGTGAAGACACTAGAAGATGGCAGACTATCCAGGTAATATACCAGGGAGAATGAGACTCAGCTTTGGGCTGGAAAGACCAAAGACAAACTGGTGAGTATGAGGGTAGACCCACAGAGAGGGAGGTAACACTCATAAGTTTGCTTTATTAAGTTATCTAAGTGGAAAAGACTGCAGGCAGGAAAACAGCTACAGTACGTGACAGTCTTTACAGGGAAATGCCAGGATGAAGAGCAGGAGGTAAGTAGTCAGGTTATTTCTCGATCACACAGGCAGAGACGACAGGAAATTTCCAGGAAGATGAGCTCAAGGTAGATGGTTGTTATGGCACTAAAAACTCCTACTGAAGGAGAGTGAGCAGGACAAATGTTGCTCAGACAACAAACACATCTCCAAAAAACTCCTTTAACAAAATCCCAAAAAATTAACTGAGCTATGAAGATGCAAAAACATAAAAATGGCAGAGGTAGCAGAAGTAATGTGATCAAAAATCACTGTCCAGATAAACAGTCCTTTGTCATAACAGGGAAACTTACTAGTCCAAAGAGGGCAGAGTCTGAGGCCAAAATTCAGGTCTGGCAACAGGTTAGGAAGACAGGCTTCAGGAAAGGGCTGGAGATTTCCACACCACAGCAAGAGACCACATGACACTGACTACAGGGGTAAGGCAAGTTATGGGCAGGAGTTAACAAGCCACAGATGGAATCAATTTCCCACATGCAGAGTGAAGCACCAGTCAAAGACAAAGTGAGAAAAGATAATGCTCTGTCACAAAGCAGGAAGAAAGCACCAAGCATGATAGAACTGAGTTGTTTAAAGTCACAGGTTCAGTCATTACATTAGGCTACTGCTGTATGACTTTAGTTGTATGACTTATTACTGGAGAAACTAATGGAAACTATTTTGAATAGTGAAATGAAACTCAACTATGCCTAATTATAGAGTATGTTACTACACTTCTGGTGGTCCTAAACCAACCAAAAGAATCACAACTAGAAATTCATGACAAATGACTTTTTACTATATATGGCAAATTTACTCAATACACATAATAGGCTGCTCCAGTGTCATTACAACTGTGTGCAGAAATGTTTTGTTTATACCCACAAGACCTTATTATAATACCTAGTCTAGACCCCAGAGCTTCAAGGACATCACATTTGTCAGGCTGAATTTTGGAGAAATATGTATATAATAATCCACAAGATGTTAAGACAATTTCTGTTTGATGGAATGGTGCAGCCTTAAACAACATGGAGTCTTGGGTTTTGAATATTTCAGTGTAATAATCATAGAGAGTGACACATTCAAGGAAAACCTGAACAAACAGTGCCCCCATCCATAAGAGGGGGTCACTGAATGGTTTGATGAGGTTGAAAATGGTGTGAATCATATGTTGTGGCCTTCACAGTCACCAGGTCTCGGCCCAGTTGAACATCCATGGAGCATTGTGTTAGACAGTGTCTCTACCACCATCATCCAAACACCAAGTTAGGGAATATAAATATGAGTTTAACAACTTTAAACTTTTTAACAATATGAAGAAAAATCTATATGGTAAGAGGTCAAAATCACCCAGAACAGTAATTATACTGCTTATAATTTACAATGCAGTGTTGCTGTTTATACTTCAGTTTTTGCACACACGTCTTTCACTCACTGTCAAAACCTTTATTGGTTCCTTTTTGTGCTATCACACTGTTGACTCTTTTGGTGACAGTAGAAATCAAATTAGCACAAGCACTTCCATAATTATAAATGTAATGAGAACATTTAGGAACAAATATAATAGACAGTAACTACATTACAATACCACACCTACAAATGATCCACACTGAAACATGAGGACTGTACATCACAGTAATTTCCAGGCTTCGATTAAACCAAGAGTATTATTTCTATGGCCCTAAATTAAAACCTTCCAGTTCTGGAAATGCTCATTCTTGTCATACAAGGTAAACATTAGAAAAACCTCCCATTTTGTTGTAATATTTCAGTGTTTTCTCTACAGCAGTTACATCTGGTCTTTCTTACTGGAAAGGAATAATAGCTAAAAGGCTGGCTGTTTTCACCCAGAGGTAGATCGTTGTTCTATGAATCTATAATGCAATCCCCCAGCATGAGGAGACACACATCATTCACATGCTCCACTACATTACTGCTTCAACTCATCAGATATGTTGAGCTCACAGAAATCTGAGAACTGTATGAGGTAGAGAGTGTGTGTAGACAAGTATGTGAGTGCATTTGTGTGTGTTTGATTGGTTTACTGCATATGTGCATGTGCTGTGTGTGTGTGTGTGTATTTTTATAGAGAGGAACTGTGTGTGGGGGAGGAGCATGTAGAAGTGAATTATGCCTTTTTCAGAGGGGAGGGGTGCATAAATGTATGTGTGTATGTGGGGGATGGGCAAAATGTTCACTGTATGTATGTTCAATAAATATGTGTGGGCTGGTTTGTGGTGTGTGTGTATGTGTATGTGAGAAAGAGAAAGTATGTTGCATGTAAAAGTAAAAATGCATTTTAGAGGCCTATTTTTGTGTGTATAAACTCTGTAACGTATGCATCGTAATATTCACTAAATCTGTCTGTATGTGTTCATACTACTGTATGTGCAGAGCTGTATACACCTGGGTGTGTCACCATATAGCATATGATTATAGTACTTTATGTATGCAAGCATTTTTTATAATTGATTTGGATGTGTATACTGTATGTGTGGGAATCAGCAAGATGTGCATATCTCTGTGTGTGGGGGGGTGTAAGAGCATCTCTTTATGTATATTAATGTACATAGATTCACTTTATTAATAAAGGAAATGTGTTGTTTTGTCACCAAAGACCATCTGAACAGGCAGAGAAAAACATTCTGTCTGCTTTGGTTTGTCCTATTTTTTCTCATAAACACAATCTGTTTCATAGCTTTATTTACACCATTAGATTAGTTATGTATCGTTTTGTTGTCTAAACTAATTAGGATATTTTACATTGCTTTTGAATTGTGCAACTATTAATTCTACTTCTCAAGATGGATTAAGGTCTGTAACGTAAACGTAACTTACTAGATTTAAATGGAGAGACTGTAAAACGTCAGTAGAGAGATTGTGACGGACCGAGCAGGTAGGCATGAGGACTATACGGGTTTTGGTATTAAAAAAATGTTTTATTTTTACCCAAAATCCAAAACAACAATTCACAAGAAACCTTAAGAATGGGCCCACAAAGAGGTCAACTAAAAATCCAACAACCCAGGTAAGTAACAACTGAAAAATAAAAAACAGACTGCTGGTGCAACAGAACACAACCTAACAGAAGAAAATCTAAACTGACCCAACACAAAGACACATTTGAGAACAAACTGTATACAGTATAGTGGCAGGGCCAACTAGGGGAAACGGTAAGACAAACATTGTATAAGACTGATAACTCAAGAAACCTAGCAATAAGTCTGTTTACCAACATAACAATGCCTATCTATCAAAATCACACTACTAATTAACAAGTTGCTTCACAAATAAACAAATATTCAGATACATTTCTCTTGCTCCTCCCTTGGCTTGGCAGTCCATGTTCAGACTCAGTGTTGCACTTCTTTGTTCACATAAGAAGTGACAGAGGAAGCTCTAGTTCATACCCCTGCCCTTTTGTCATCTCTGCACAGCTGGCCATTCAGATTGCCATTGCCAGTTTTGGAAAGTTACAGAAATTGTTAGATGCGGCCTCTCTCCCAGTTCAGACATTAGAAAGGCATTTCCAAAGCTTTTCTGCTATCCAACAAGACCTTCAGGTCGAGCATACTGGCAACTTAAGTGCAAAACAGCAAAGAACTGACTAACTAATCTCCCTGATGAAGTCATGAAGAAGAATGTCCAGTGCAGGTAACCAGATGCAGCTGTGGCTGGTCACCCTTTACTGAACATAATGAGCACAGCTCTGCACACAGAGACATGTGATGACCAAGGTATATACGCTGTCTATTGATCAGAGGTTGAGTAGTAGTAAGGCAGACAACAGGGTGAGTGGACAGGTGTTTCTGTACAATGGCCTCCTAGTGGAGCTCAAGTAAACACACACAGATAAACACAAGATCAGCTTTTTAATCAACCCTAAAGACCCCACAACACAATGCATCAACCTGCAGCTTCTCCTAGTGAGGAGGCCTGGTTGACAACCAGGGAACCATAGCCCAAATCAATGGCACTCCCATGTCACTTTGTAGTTGAAGGCAGAACAACTGCTGGAACCCAATCAGCATTACTGTAAAACAAATAACATGATGGTGAGGGTGCACTGCAGACCAACACCAATGACAGCCACAAACTGAATTTTTGTAACACCTCAGCTATATTCAATGTAGGACGTGTTTGTTCGGAGCATTAGGTGGTGTTTTTAATGGTGGGAGAATGCAGTTGGCTATCTATTTCACCATCAAGACGAGACATTACACTGACTGAATAGAGGGTCATCTGGGTCTTCAATGGCCTCTTCGGTGCCTGGTGATGCTTTCAGCTCTTAAAAACTGGAAATCTGGAAGGGGCTCTAGGAAAAAGCTGGAAGGGGCCAGCAGACTGTTGATCATGCCTCCAGTGCCACATCTAGGGACAAAGCACATACAAAGTCAAAGTACATTACAGAAACGTGACACATATCCAAAAACACGTATAAAAATCAAACCACATGCGTGTGTGTGGGGGAGGATGTGTTTGTGTATGTATATGTGTGTGTGTGTGTGGAGGGGGGTGTAGTGCTGTTCAAGCTGGCTGTGTGTAGTACCAAGTCACCTCTAAATGCCCACAGTATACTGTACATAGCCCTAGGTTTGTTGTGATATTAGTTATGATTATTATCTTTTACCACTTTGCAATTTGTTTGAACCCAACTTTATTTAGGAATATGGACCACAGTGAGTACAGTATGAACTAAATTTATTACTGCGAGTTGCTAAAACTAAACTTACCCTCTATAAAATGGTGCCACAACTGAAAGGCTGCACCCACTGTTGTTGATATTGCACTTCAGTGCTGACAAATTACCTAACAATTTTGTTACCAAAGGGTAACAAGGGGCTACCTGAGGTTTTAGGGTCACCTGGGGTTTAGTAAACAGTTTCTGTCCAATATAACCCAATAGACAGAGACCTGTCAATAAGGCCCATAAAATCTACTGTTGAATGTTGACTGCTGCTTCATTCATTCTTCTCTGTGACAAGTGAGGTAAAAATGTTATTTAAACAAAACTTACAAGCCATACTGTTGGCTATAACCCAGCCAAAATGTACAGCTTGTTCGTATTAAAAATGAATAATTAAACAGTGAAACAGTCACATTTAGGTTTCCTAATAACGAAAAAATACACTAGAACAACCAATTATAAGGAAAGAACGATGAAAATGTATTAGCTAAAATACAAACAAAGAGACAATTAAACAAGTAGCTTGTGTAACTGAAACAACCATTCATTCACACGCAACAGAAACACCTGGCCGGACCTCTGACACTCTGTCCCTCCTCTGGTGGAGCACATTCTGCCATTCATGTCCTCCAGGTCCTTGTCGAAGTAGAAGGAAATGGCTAAGGCTGCTGTCAAAGATGTGTCCACAGTGCTCTCAAAATAAAATCGCTGAAGAGGGTCCTGCAACATTTTTAACCAACACGTTGATAATATTTGTGAATGTGGTTATTTTACTATTATTATTAATTTTCAAACTCCTGACAGCCTCTTTTATTTCTGTGAGGCATTGTATTTCCGGGCCGGTTGATGCTGACTTGACAACTCGGAGAAGGAGCTCTTTGTATGACTGGTCCGCGAGCTCAGGCAGCGCAGAGCACGCGCGCGTCAGCAGCAGCGCTGTAGGAGAATCACACAGAGTCCCACTGAGGGACAAACATGATCCAGCAACGTTCCCTGTCCGAACCACGCATCGCTGCCGGTTGCAGACAACTTCAAACGGAGGGAAAACGACGCTTTTAAATGCTCATGTTTTGTCTCGGTTGTTTTTAACGTCAGGTATAAAAGAAGTGCGTTTAATATTACTGGGAAGTTTGCTACGCACAGTGGCGGTCACTGGAGCATGAAAGCCGGTGCAGAGAGAAAGGCATCCGCGTAAATTTCACCGACTCTTAAAGCTTGGTTTTGGCTCATTATTTTCCAAAAGAAGCTTGTATTATTGGAACGAGTTTTTTTTCCGTAGTCGCTCAGGAGATTAAAACTTTACAAGTTTGAAAAAATAAAAGTAGCGGTTGTAATACCCGCAGAGGACAGAGAAGAAAGAAACTCGAAGAGGAGTACATGGGAGAAGTGGATGTATTTTCGGCCATGGATGTAACAGTTTACCCGCCTCCTCCTCAGCCTCTGGACGCCTCAGACCACGTCAGACTGGGGCAGCTCTCCTACCCTGACCCGGCCTTTGGGGCCAACAAGGTAAGAAGGGGACGAAAGAAACCTATGGTTACTTCTGTTTCCTGTTGTCTAGAGTGGAAAGCCAACTTTTTGTCACCTTAGCAAACTCCCCTGTCTGTGTATTCATCCTTCTACAGTAAATTCTAATTTCTAATTAAGTGGTGATTAATTGATTTATTAGGCTTCACCTAATTAACGCAGCTGCTTAAGGTTAACTAAATTACTTAAATAACTGTTACTTATGTCTTTTGATCATCTCAACCCAGACACGTAGGCTTTATTTTATTAGGGGACTGTTGTCAGTGATTTAATGATACCTTTAATTAAAACGTCACTACTGGTAATTGAAAGGTCTTTAAGTTTAAATATGCTCTTAGATGGCAAGTAAAAGTGGAAGGATCATACATTACTTTTTCGATATATATTGGTTATACTAGAAACAGTTTATCTTTACTAGTATTCACAGCAGTGCTTTGTGATACGAAACTATCTATCTATCTATCTATCTATGCTAAGGGATGTTTGTTAGAGCAAGCTGAACACCCAGAGATGAGATCATTTGACAATGATGAATTGCTTAATTACTTCATTACATGCAGCCATGAGTGCAGCTAGTAGAGTTAATGACAGATTAATAACCTCTCTTCAGTCTTAGCACAATAAAATGGAACCCATTCACATTCTACCTTTTGACTTTTTTCCAAAATGTACCATTTTCTAGTAAAAAATAAACATAAAAATATATTGTTTAAATAACTAAAAACAATTTCAGGAGTTGTTAAATCATGGCAGGCTGCAGTCAGACTGTATGGAGATCTCTGTCTCTCAGTTTAGTTTTCAATTATAACAGGGGAGGCGACAGTGCGGTGGGTAGAGCAGTTGTTTCCCAACTGGAAGGTTGAAGGTTTGAATCTTGGTACCTCCAGTCCACATGTCAAAGTGTCCTTGGGCAAGACACTGAACCCCCCCGTTGCCCCTGATGGTTAGAGCCATCGGTTGAGTTGGCGCCGCAGATGGCTGCCATTGGTTCTGTACTGGAAACAAATTCCTTGTGTGTAAAATACTTGGCCAATAAAGGTGATTATCCTTATTATTATCCAATAAAGGTGATTATCCTTATTACAGTTTGCTTTGTTTATGTATATGTATATATATATATATTTGTGTTTCAATTGCAAAATACAGTATTTGCAGTACTCACACACAGTACAAGAAGCAAGGATGAACGATAAAATAACGTCTTGTACTATCTGCGTAAAAACTCTCCTCACTATAAAATCTCTTATTTTACCATGAGACTACGTTAGCATCGCTCAGACTGAATAAATGTGTATTAGTCTTCATGACTGGCCAAAAGGTTATTAAAATAAATTTGTAGAACTGTGACCTGTCATTACCATAATACATGAGGCTGTTCTTTCATCCTTTTGGAACTGCAGGGACTTGCTGAACTTTTTCACCTCACTTTTTTTTTTTTTAACCAGCTACTTTCAAATCTTAATCTATCTCTGTCATGGACTTGGTGGACTGAGTAACATCAAACTATACAGTCATTACTGACTAGATGACATACGACTTAATGATTGATTAGATTTTTTGAGACAATATTCCCCTTAAAAGATGACTTTACACAGTAGCTGAACTGTACAAGCAGTTTATTACAAGTCATATTTAGGTTGTTATTGTTAGGCGATAACTAGCATCTGGAGTAATTATGTTGTGGCCAAAGGGAGAGGTCAGGTGATGTATAAAGAGTAAGAAAGACCACAAAAGGAGGATTAGATAGATGGGTCAATACAATACAGGACTGTGACACATGACTATTCGTATTCGGTGATCATTGTTTTTTTAACCACAGATGATTATAACCTTATCTGCATGTTTATTTTTGTAGCCATGACGATGAAAATCCTGTACCCTTAATGAAACTCTTCCTTTAACCCATGCTCTTTCCC